ATCAATGCGATGTTTCACAACGTTAGTCCTGTCTGGTTTGTTGCCATCCTTGTCGAATATGTTGGAGTATCTGCGGAGAAGTTCCTTAGCCTTGTGCTGGTATTTTTCTTCCAACCCTTCCGTCCATGCATTAATGTCTTCCGCAATGTCATTCTCGCCAATGGAATCGCTTTCAGGTAATTTTTCGCAGTTGAAGATTGCCTCTACCTCTCGACATTGCCCCAGTACAGCTCCTCTTCGGAGTTTAATTGATGATTTGAACTCGTTGAGTACTCGAACTGGAATGCGTCCATCGTTTTGCGTCTTAGCCAGGGTTTTACCAATAAGTACGTCCGGTGTAGAATTTTGTGTTGCCTCAATAACCCACAATTTGTTTGTCCCACAATCTCTATCAATCTTCGCCCAAGCAACTGCTTCTGACTTCGGTGGAATCTGCTCGCTTTCCTCTAGGATCACTCGCTTGCTGCTGTACGGACCATCATACCCAAACCTCAGGGGCACTTCCATGTTATTCTACTTCATGATCCTGTTCTTCATGTCGATCTCCATACCTTGATCAAATAAAAAGTCTAATCCAATGATGACTTCATCCATAATCGCCGCGACTATGAACTTGTGTAACACCGTTACATTCCCTAATGCGACTTTGCATGTTACCTCTCCTACAACTTGGGTGTCCTCACCAGTTGCTGTCCTCAACCTTGCTCCAGGTAATGGCCGTACCTCTTTAGTGACCAAATCAGATCGAATGATGGAATGTGATGCGCCCGTATCCACAGTTAGTACTCGCTCATGTTCGTCCACATATCCACCAACAGTAACGTTGCTCGCTTTTCTGCCAATTTGCGAGACGGAGATTATGGGGCATTCAATTGCGGAAGCTAGCGCGCGCCCCATGCTGCTGGCTCGTTTTAGTTTAACGATTGATTGGAGTTGGATTCGTCTCCTTCAGCCCTGCGTTTGCGTCCTGCTGAATTGTTGAGCCCACTGGAACTTTCGCTGCAAACGCGGGCGAAGTGGCCTGGCTTTCCACATTTAAAACATTTGCCAGAGCCATGCTTTTTCTCGCCCAGCAGTTGGATAATCTTCTTCAGCATTTCATTGGTCTAGTCAGGTGTTTCCACTTCCACGCGATGTGCTTTGTAGGCTGGTCTACTTAGGAGCGCCGCCGTTTCACGCGTCTGAGCATACGAGACAGTTTCAGCAAATGTTGGCTTTGGATTCGCGTACGTCTCTCGCTTGGTATACACGTCCCGCATTCCGTTGATGAACCTCTGGATTTTTACCCTTTCGAGGTGCCCACCAGATGCGTCTCCAATAGCCAAGTGAGCCAACCTCTCGATCTCTGAGGCGAATTCTTGTAGAGTCTCGTTGGCTTTTTGGCAGCGGTTCTCCAGCTACATCTAGTAAATCTGTCTCCTGTGTTCGCTACCGTAACGTCTCTCCACAGCACTCATCAATGCATCGTAACTGTTCCTTTCACAGTCGGGAATAGTCTGCAATATTTCTGCTGCAGGTCCTTTCCATGCAACGAATAGTGCAGTGGATTTATCCTCCATGCTCCAATGATTTGCTGCAGCCGTTTTTTCGAACTGGAGCTTAAAGACCTGGAAAGGAATCGTGCCGTCAAAGGATGGGGTTTTTACCTTGGGAGCGTTCGTCGAAGTAGCTGGACGATTCAACTGTAAATCACGAAGACGACCTTCCAATTCTTCTACCTTTGATTCGACTTTCTCCTGTCCCTCTTTAAGTTTGTCCTGTATTTGTGTAATTTTTTCATCCTGTGCATCCAGCTGTGATGATATGCGTGCTTCCTGTGCCTGTAGCTCAGTTTCTAACCGGGATGACACCTGCGATAACACCTGCGCTGATACCTCTGAAGATATACGTGTCTCCAGCGCTTGCATCTGTGAGGAAACGTCTGACGACAACTGCGACCTCTGTTCCTGCATCATCTGTGACATGGCAGCCAATAACGTGTTCATGTCCATACCTGTTGATGAACTAGGAGCCTTTTGCTGTTCTTCAACCTTACCGGCTGTCTGCTGCAAACCCTTCCACGAACAATCAGCCTCATCCTTCTGTTCGTCCTTCGTTCGATGGAAGTCGTATTTGTCAACGTCGATACCTTCCTCTTCCATAGCCTCTCGCAGCCGTGATTGTAACTCCAATTTTCTTCCGGAGGTTGTTAAATTTCGTTTTTCCAACTCCTGCTTGAGTTCCTCAATCTTTAGATCCTGAATTTTCGCCATTTTCAGTAGTTTATCCTTCGGGATTTATTTAACAATCCCACTTCTGACACCAATTGTTACGATCATCCTTGAAACCTTATGGGATTTCCCAAATATCTCACGGCTCGTATCGCTGGATTGTTAAATAAATGCTCACGATGACCAAAGTGTAGTACAATTAACTTTATTGTACAACAAACAATTTACAATACTCGCTAATACCGTAAAAACACTTTACAATACTCGTTAAAGCAATTACAACGCTTTACAAAACTTGTTAACACAATTAAACTTATAGCTTGCTTATTCGCAACTCACTTTACTTGTAGCTTGCTGGCTTGTAACTAACTCACTCCGCTGTGTGGTGGCTCTTATATACCTGCGCTCGCACCCATGGCAACTCTAGAATGTTCTGAAGTTCATCGCCCATTCTCTTTCTCTCGCTGTTCGCAGTGTTCATCCAACTTGACGTTTCTCTTAGTGGAACATTCTACGTCATTCCTCGAACATTTTGCCTATTTCTCGTTGTTCGCTTTGTGTTACCGCAGTATTCGCCACAGTAGATAACAAGAAGGGACAACTCGTTATAATTGTGGCGGAAGTGCGCAACAGGGGCGTGCCTTCCCTTTTCATCCAATCAAAAAATGCACTAGGGCAAAAGAGAAGGCACGCCCCTGTTGCGCACTTTCGCTACAATTATAACGAGTTGTCCCTTCTTGTTATCTACGTTCTTTGGTATGATATCAAGCAAACGTTTGCGAATCACCACCAGCTGCGCACTGTAGGCAGAACAAAACCCATTCAACTAGAGTCAATAAGATTCATTTAATTTATTTTCGAACTCTGGTAATGAGCAAATCGCCAAGCAAACGTTTACGAATCATTCCTGCGAGTTTTGTCTCACCCAGCTGGGCACTTTATGCTTTTGTTTCGTTTGCACTCGAGCACAAAAGCAGAAGAAAATCCAATACAACTAGAGTTTTCTTTGGGTTTCGGTTGTGTTTTGCTCTCTGCAATGAGTCAAACGAAACAAAACAATACGATTCAATTCGTCTATTTCCGAACTCTGATTATAACATACCACAAGGTGTGCTATCCGCTTCCCATTCAATTTTCGATACTAAATCTCAAATCAGCTGCAATAAAAGCAATGTCTATCTTCGTTAGCACTGGATCACATTTTTTTTTTGTTCACCCGATGCCACTATCCAATTCCTATGTGGAATTGCTCAGTGATTCCGAAAATCAAGTTAAGTTTTTTCTCAATGGATAAATTTCTGAGATATTTGCAATTTACCGTTATTCAGCTTAAGAAAGAGTGGTTCCACTTAATGACATATATCTTTTGAACGAATTGAACAATCGGTATACGAAGTAAAGCTAATCAAATTCTCCATAAACTCTTCGACAGGCCTGATAGTCTCTGAGAAACTAATTAATAATTCCTGATTTTTTGTTTTTTGATGAAAAAATTAAATTAATTCAAATCTTAACTGGACAATAATAAAATAAAAGAATTTTAATATACTACTATATAAAAATAAAATTTTTCTCAGTCGCATAGAATTTGTTTTGATAACTTTTGATTTTGAAATTTTAGCAAAAGACAACAGTCAAACACAGGCCTAAAATTTCTACAGAGAAAGTACAAATTTGAGATAAATTTTAAGCGGTCGTTATTCATATACCCACATACATACATAAATTACGCTTCATATCAGTTCAGGTCTATTAAATGCGCCCCACGCTTTTCATTTTCAATTTCATAAATTGTTTATAATGACTTTTGCTAAAATTTCAAAATCAAAAGTTATCAAAACAAATTCTATGGGACTGAGAATAATTATTTTCTAATTTTTAGTCCATTTATAAAAGCGTGGTATATAAAAAAGTTTTTTTATTTCATTTTATTTATTTTCTACTTTTTAGGCTTGTCTGTATAAAACTTTGCAATAGATATTAAAATAATTAAACTTGCATTGAAAAGGGAACAGAAGACTATGCAAGTTTTTCTAATTGTATGTCTTTGATATGATACCTACGACGAGGTTGATATCTACACTAGGTTTGCATAAATACCTTAGCTATATTTATAGTATAAATAGTGGTTTGGACATAAAACATTGCAAGTTGATAAAGGCGTTGTAAAACAACGAGTTTTTTGTAAATTTTTTTATTTTGTATGAAAGCCTGTTCCTTTACAAAAAAAATAAAGCTACCAATGAAGAAAATCGATGGATAAATAAGAAAGGAATGAGTGGTGAAATGAAAATGCACAAGAATTTTTTGAATGAAATATGAGCAGAAAAGAGTGTTACTCAGGTGTACAGGCGTATGAGTAGCATTCTTTATTGCTCATTTTTCTTAAAAAAAATTATTGTGCCTTATTATTTGACCACTCATTCTCCTTCTTTATCTATCCATCGATTTTGCCCATTAGTAGCTTGATTTTTTTGTAACAGAACAGGCCTTTGTGAGCTGCGATTTAAACCGAACACAGAAGAATCACTTCTGGCCGCTGCCAGGTGAATGACAGTCAAAAGCTTTACCCTTACGTGGACTTCTGCGCGCGTGTAAATGAATATAGTTGTTGTCGTAGAAGCTCCCCAAACTACCCTGGGCCTACCGTTAGTAGAAAGATAAACTGATCTAGGCAGGACTTAGTACCCAATACAACAACAACCTAGCGCCAATATATTATTATTTATCTATGCTGCTACAGCAACAACAGAAAACAATCCTTGATAAATATTAATAAATACTTTCGAATGGAATGTATTGATACACATTTGTTTTAAAATTTATTTTTATCCAATTAAGTATTAAAATTATTACAATTATAAATCCAGCTCAATAATTCAAAATATCGTACATCTTTAAGCATGTACAAAATTATTACATACACACATGTGACTAAATTCCAGGTAAAACCTGTGTATATACAAAATATAAAATTACATTTGTAAGTTTTCAAAATAATAACTAAAATAATGAATTAAGAAGTGGGGGTGAGTTTATCCCAATTAATTTGAAAATGGATTGTATTACATACGGATGGATGGGATTCAAGGTTAATGATGGGATTCAAGGTGAATGATTTCAACTATATTTTTGTAGAATTTGCTAAATATAATTAAAACGCCTTGTTGTTTTATATAAACTAGCAATATTAAATTAAAACAAAAATAGAGTAATGTATTAGCGAAAGATTGTAAAAAATATAATGTGACCTTTAAATAATGTCAATACATTTTTTAAGAGTTCAAATAAAATAAGATGAACAAAAGGTGTTAAGAAAAAACAGAACAAAAACAAATATAAATTATATTTGCCAAATATTTCTTTTAGTCACAATTCTTTGCAGTCACAAATGTAAATTTTCTTCTTTTTTTTGAAGTTGCATGGTATGCAATTAAGTTTGAAATAATGAAAATTGAAAGTTGTAAGTAATTTACTTATGTATGTAGTAGGTAGTCGATTAAATATAAAGCAATTGTTCCAAAAACTCATATTACTTACATTGCTGAATATCTGAATATAGGTAGATAGTGGAACGAAGTATTTCATGTATTTATTAGATAATTGAAATACTTTATTAGCAAGTATTTTTAATGATGTTTAAGCACTCTTAGCAAATAAATGTATTTAATTATCTTTTTGGCTCACATATTCCAAGCATCTTGAAATATTGGCTTTTTAATCAACAAATTAGTTTTTATTTACTTTATTTTATTGGATAAGTGTTCTAAATAAAGGAATCATTTTTACTTGCAATTTTAAGTTATCAGTGCGTTTGCATGCTTACACGCGAGACCACACCAGAGCATCTCAAAAGCGGCTTTTTAACAAATGAAATCCTCACTTTATGACGACTAATTTAGTACAAAATAAAATATTTAGGAATATGGTTTCGTAAAATGCCTATATATAGTATTGCAAAAAGCAAAGTTGTATCATTTGTCAAAAGAGAGAACAACTCAACGTGTGCCATAAACTTACGATTTTTATAAATATTTAGTTACATATTTACATACATTAGTATATATGTATGTAGTACATATATCATGAGATGACAAAAAAACTCTCAACACTCACAGTATGAATGAGTTTTACCTTCTGTCAACCTTCTGTAATGGCGAATGCATTTCTTCACGACTTGACAAACAAAGGCTATCTCAGCTAAACGCCGTACATTTTTGTGTGGATAAACAAGTACATGGCTTCTTTCCGGTTTCCTTCTTTTAGAGAATTTACTACCTCAATGAAAATACCATAAGCCTCAAATAAACATACTCCTACATCGTGTTTAACGAAAATTTCCTTGGTGATGTAATGCAATTTGCTAATCTGAATTAGTACAAAGTTATATATTAAAGATTGCACGCTTTTAAGTTGCTATAAATGCTTTTACTTCTTTCCTTACGCAAAATTTTATAGAACAATGACAATTTATGAAAATTACAATTTCGTTTTACATATCGACACTTCCAAACCATACCATACTAAGTCACCTTAGACTTAGCATAGTATGGTTTGGAGGTGTCGATATGTAGTCGAATATGTGTATTTTTTAGGGCATACCAAACAATTTGCATATCCATATGCAGTACGTAAACTGATTTTTAAATCTGATTAAAGCAACTAATTTTTGTTACATAGTTTTGTGGAGCCCTGCACTACTATTACCAAATGAAGCAATGTTCATAATAATAACACTTTTAGATATAACTATTTGGAGAAAATAACAGGCAATGTGGCATTTGTTTCAAATGAAGCAAGTCACTTCGGCTCCAGTTTTAGGTAATTTTGACAAGTTTCGTCTAATTTATTTTATTACATAATCCGATTAATCATAGCAAATTGTTTGAACGAGAAATAGTAATAAAGATCCTAACTAACATCTACAATTTATGTAATGATAAATAGTATTATGAAAATTCGACTTTAAAAATAATGAAGTTGAAAACTTGTATTATTTTTGAAATGGACTTTCATTACTACATATTTTGAGGGAGTATATTGTTTTATGCACACACATACATAAAGACATATAGCTCATTTACAAAAAACGGTCATATCGACTTACGCACGCCGGGAAATGAAAATGCGTATTCTCTTCACACGCGAAAAGTACACAAGATTTTGCAATTTACGCACAGTACCAAGCATGTTATAGCGAGTATTTTTGCTAACATATCGAGGGCTTATATTCAATACCCTCTATCTGCAATTTTCACAAAAACTACTTTGTGATGTTAGAACCCATCTGGGACTTACCTGTTATCACTGAAGTTAATTCTGACTTTACAATTTAATAGAAATTCTTCTGTCAAGCCTTATACAAGGTCAGCATTAACATCACCGATGACAGTTAAGTCTTAGGTGCATGTTCATATCAGAATCTCATTTTTGTGAAAAGTTCAGATAGAGGGTATTGAATATAAGTCCTCGATATGCTAAAACAATCCGTTTTACGAGTTGGGGCAGTATATTAGTAAATTAGCTATATGTACTTACATATCTAATGGCGTTTTCTTTCTCGAAATAATTTTGCATTTATCCTGCCCTGCGCCAGGGTTGTCAAGTTTTCGTGTTCTTTTCTCAGCATGTTCACATGTTTATTGTGTGCTCTTTCTTTAAAATGTTGCACTCTGATAATGTTGCCATATACGAAAGTGACATTTTTTCAAGAAAAGAAAACGCCATTAGAGTATTCGCACATTTTGATATGGAATGTGAAAATGACTTGCTCCATTTTATAAACAAGCTGCACTAAGCCATCTAATTTGATACTCCGTAATACCGAATTTTGTCATTAAAATTAAATTAAAAATCGGAAGAAGATGCCCTATGTTTTAAAAATTTATTTTGAATTTCGACAGTCACTTTTGAATGGTGCTATTTTGACGCAGCAGCCTAGGCCCATTATGTTGTAGTTGTCCATGTTATAAGGTTTTTTAAGCAGTGCAATTGTTCACTCGAATGGTGCTTATCTAATATTGGTAAATAGGTTCAGTACGGATTTGTTCTCTTTTTGACTGCGTGCTTTACTAAATACATTCCAAAAGCGTAGAGTTTCATCACCAGCTCCTGTTACTATTGCCTCTCCATCCGGACTTAATGCCAAGTAAAGCACGCGATACGAGTGTCCAGTTAGCTTTGCCACTTGTGTCAGAGAAGGATATTTCCATACCAATATTTGATTTTGAGAGTAACCGTGTGTGGATACCAACTCAGACGAGTGTTTCGACCAAGCCAAATTGCACACTTGTGAACCGGTGTCGACGCACTGCATCGGCTGACCTGTTAGGGTATTCCAAAAGCGAATGCAACGATCGGCAGTGCCACCACCACTTGCCAATAAACCATGATGATGTGGGGACCAGGCAATGGCTTTTACCGCTGCAGTATGTTCTGTATACGATTGTACTGGATTAAGGGAATGCTGATTCCACACATATAGGCGATTGTCGTTACCGCCACTCGCTAGGTACTGATTGTCGGGTGACCATTTAAGGCCGCAAACCTCTTGTCGGTGGCCTGCCAAACGACGTTCTGATTGTTGCGCTGGTGTGCGGGTATCCCTCTGTATAATCAAACGATCACGTGAACCACTCGACAAAATTTCACCATTCCACGCTAATGCACCTACACGTGCTGAGTGACCAGTCAATTTATTAATCTAGAAATGAGGAGGCTCATTTAAATGTAAACAAATCCAAAAAGGCATATTGCAATACTTACTTGTTTACTTGCAGCCACATCCCAAACTGTGACGAAGCCGTGATGTGTACCAACTGCCACTAAATTGCCGCGCTCATTCCATGACACCGATGTTACGGTATTCGAATCCGTGTTAAGGTCGCATAGGCGAGTTACCTGTAAATTGAAAATTCAAATTAATTTGGTTGATTGAAAACGAACATATAGGAGCCAAAGATTTTTAAACGATTGCAGACAAACAAAAGCAAAATTTCAATGTTACTACAACATAAGACCTGTAATATTTGCTAATATTCGTGGCAATAATAATTATCATTCACACCTGACTAGTACATGCGCTCCACAAATAAACGCAACTGCCTAAACCGACAGCAAGCACATTTTGCGATGACCAATCGACCAAATTCAAGTAAAAGTCATCTTGAAGTTCGGGAGCGTCTAACACCTGTTAAAGAGGAAAGAATGTGTATTTTAGTTAAAAAAGTGAACTGTTTATTTGTACTTTATCATTTATGTACCTTAAATGGTATCCGAGATATTTTTCTAGTTGCTTTCCGCGGCGATCGCAGTAGTTTTTGGCTTTTCGTACTGACTGGTGAAAGCGAATATGGGCACTGTTCATTGAAATCCTGTAAAGAAAATAAATAAACGCAAATAAAATCAATTGTTATTGAAATCAGCTTTAGAAATTAGTAGTTCTCTAATAGGCTTCGCAAATAAATAAAACGTTACAGTTATTTTTTCAGAGTCAAGGAGTTGCACAGATAGCATGTAGCGATTCAAGTCATTGGCTCAAGTAATTTCGTATTAGTAAGCTTAGGCAATTAGCAAGGAAGTGTGAAAATATGGCGGTATTGGCCAAAGGCTGCTGTTTAGAGGAAACATAGTTTGGGCACCCGTGGCTTGCATGGCGATAAAGAAAAAAACGAAAACCGAGTCGAGTATTGATAAATGGTATGCCTTTTTGCCTACAAAACATGCGTGGCGATTGACAAAAACTCCAACATTCACGGAATTTAGTGGGACTCCGATTTTTTTTTCCGGAATATACACAATATGTGTAATAAGATTAAAAAATAAAAAGGGTGGTATTAAGCGATTGAGATCATTAAAAAATTCATGTTTATGTATAATATTTGTTATAACAAGTTACACTAAATTTTTTGTTTACACTAAAGCTGATGCCCGATAAAACTTTGTGGCTTTGCGTGACATTTATAATTTTGCCAGCAAAGCGCCAGACGCAAAAGGTATGCCATAATAAAGTGACAGGTAACAAGATCAACGGAAATAAGGTCAATTGACTTTGTTTCCCACCCTGGTTCGAAATAAAGTCAATTGACATTATTACCTTTTCAAAAGCGAAATAAAGTCAATAAAAATTTAGAAATAAAGTCATTGACGCTATTTCCTCATTCAAATGGAAATAGCGTCAACAATGCTTAAAGTATGACGATTCATAGAAAAAAATGTTGTTCTTACAATACAATAAGTGTTGTTTTTTAATAGATGAAAAAGGTTATTGCGAAATCCTCAGTGTGGTGCTATTAATCCACACACAATCATGAACTACCACCAATTTATTTTATTAAAAAATTTAAAATTACGCATATAGTAAAACACGATGCGAAAAACCAAACGCAAAACGCAGCTGGAATACAAGAAATATTTGAAGAAAGAGTGTAGAAACGATCCAGAACTTGCAAAACATGTTTCGTTTCCACAAAAATAAAGCGAACACTATTAAATTGAAGAAACAGTCCATGTCCAAAAACCCCGGAGGAACACTGAAAGAATTCTGTGTTTTAAATTAGCATATTTTGAACGAATTCGGAATGTCTAAGGTGGAAAAAAGACCAACCTTTCTATAAGGAAACAATTATAGAAAAGGAATTTTCTTACACTGTATTCATGTCTCCGCCAGCAATTTGTGACGACATCGTTTAAAAGCAGCTAAGGAGAACGACGACACTATTTATTAGATGGCACATTCAAGCCAATGTGCCAAAATGCGGGTATAAAAAATTATTGATGATTTAATATCGGAACCGAGATCATGTAAGTTAATTGATAGGTTTTCACACACTTTTGAAACACATATTATATGCCTTTTTACTGCAGACAAATTGTTGCTAAAACGCAGCAGAAATCTTCCAATAACTTACAAATAAAAAAATGTGAAAAATCGAGGGCTTAAATTTATTAATACCCTCTATCTGCAATTTGCACAAAAACTAATTTGTGATTTTAGAAACCATCTGGGACTTATTACCTGTCATCACTGATATATTACTTCTGATTTCCAATTTATTTATTTTATGGCGGCGTAGAGTGACGTGGTGTGGCGCGCCGGTCGCGCGGGGTACGCGAAGCTAAGTAAATTTAATGTTTGAAAGAGCAATATGTCAATGGATTTTATTTCGCTTTCAAGAAGGTAATAATGTCAATTGACTTTATTTCGCACCAGGGTGGTCCAATTTTAAAAATTTTCAGCCATTAGGTATGTTGTATCAAGACCAACAACCGTGCCAAGTTTGGGAGAAATTGATGGAGCGGTTCCAAAGATATACACGTGTAATCATAAATGGGCGTGGCTACGCCCATTTTTCAAAAATTTATAATATTCTTATTTTTCGCCTAAAAATGATTGTAAATATCAATTTTAAGTGAATAAGCTTCAGTATTTAGTTACTAAAATATCGCAGTTTTCGTATTTCTGAATACTACCGTTATATGGGAGGTAGGTGTGGTTATTGTCCAATTTTTCCTATTTTCATTACCGTCCGTCCCACACCGAAAAGAAGTACACATACCAAGATTCGTTAAGATATCTCAATTTTTAATCGAGTTATCGTGTGCATAGACGGACGGACAGACAGACAGTCACCGCTTAATCGATTTCTTGTATATCTATCTCGATTCGTTTTGCCTATTACAAACAACCGGTATGTGAACAAAGTTATAATACCCTTGTGCACATGTGCGCTCGGGTATAAAAATTTTAGCTTGAAAAACATTGTAAATATAATAAAAACCAATCACCAATCAAATTTTTGACCGCCAGTATATGTATGTATTAGGGCATTCAATCCCGGGATTCAGAATTCCGGGATCCCGGACACTTCCCCGTGTCCCGAAATCCCGGGATTACAGCTCCGGGATCCCGAGATTTTTACTAAGTCATTTACGGAATAAAAGAGATGTTGAAACCGAAAAAATTAATTCATTTGACTTGAAAAATGAGATATACAGAACACCAAAATTTTGATTCAAAGTGAACTTGAGCCATTTGCACTCGGACGTGAATTTCTGAACCTGCCTGAATAACTGTAATTGTTCAAACATTTTGTGCACGAACTGTGTAATAACGAAAAATCTGGTAGCAATAGAAAACACGACAAGATTTTATAGTGTGGAAGGTTTGTTCCTCATTTTATTTTGTTGGCGTTTTGTGGAAAATGAATTTCTGAAGATATTAGTAAAAGAGGTTTTTACAATTAATATAGATATTTAGGAATACTATAAAAATATTTAGACATTAAATTACGGACTATTTTACTAAGGTGCATTATGCTTCCTGTAAGACCAAACACGGGGACAACGAATCTGTGTGGTTTAAAAAAGGCGAACCTACTATTAAATGCAAAAGTTGTGATGAAGTTGAAATCCCGAAAAATCTCGGGATCCTGGGATTAGAATTTTTTCATCCCGAAATCCCGGGAATGCTAAAATGCTTCGGGATTGAATTCCCTAGTATGTATACATAGTATATTAATAATAGTAAATACATATATTTTTTTGACTTGGGTACTGGTGTTTTCATAGTGTTTTTTTCAAATGCATTAGCCTTTGTACTGTTGATCATACGCTGCAGTCAAATGTACTAGTTGTAAACTACCTCACAACTAGTATGAACCGCATGCCCAACTAGTCAGCCAACTATCTTTTTTCCATACAAGCAACTGGTATTTTTAACATGGGGATGTCCTACGAGATGGCAATTGTCAGATTTCGATTAGAAATATTTCAGTCTCATACTAGTTCAAAAAAGACAGAAACATACTAGTCGAATTATGGACCAAATATACCAGTCTCATACTAGTTCAAAATAGACAGAAACATACTAGTCCAATTATGGACAAAATATACCAGTGTCTCACTAGTTCAAAATAGACAGGAGCATACTAGTCCAATTATGGACCAAATAAACCAGTCTCATACTAGTTAAAAATAGACAGGATCATACTAGTCCAATTATGGACCAAATATACCAATCTCATAGCAGTTCAAAATACTCAAACAAATTCTAGGCCAATTATAGACCAAAACCAATAGCTTGGGAGTTAAAAAATAAAATACATTCATGAATATACAATAAAAAAAACTTTTGATTAAGTATAATTTAATATATTACACATTTTTATTTAGCAACCATAGATTTGCCAATAATTAGTGTTGAATTTTTTAAGTATTATTAATTGAAAAGAAAAATAAATATGTACATAAATATTTCAAACTTTCGAAGATAAATTAAAATGCATTTTTCATTAAATATTATTAAAAGAAAAGCATTCAGCTACAATAAATACTATATCTTTTATCTTTTCTAATAACATTAAATATGGAAAAGAAAGCATCTTGGTTGAAAATAAAATAAACACTATAGTTAATTTTTGAATAAACTTAAATAAAAATAAAAGTTTTGATTAAATCAAACTAAATTCATTTACTTGCTAAATATTCTTAATTGTAATCTGTAGTTTGGCTTGTTGATTGCGCAGCTTTGTCTGAACTTCGTTTTTGGAACTCTCGCTTCTTGTGCAGCTGCATTGCCTTCCTGAGTTGCACATCAGGCTCATCACAACTCGTTATGCTATTTATCGATTCTACGAAGAAAAAATAATAAATTAAAAAATTAATATCTTAATGCAATTTGTTAAAAATAAAAAAAATAATAGTAATAATTAATAATAAATTAAAAAATAATATAATGCTATTTACCCAACAAGGCTGAGTAAAATATTATATGCCATTATTATTTCGGTTGTCAACACATAGGTTAAATTTTTCATCACCGAATGGTTAAATAATGTCCTCATAGTGGTAATCTGCCAAATATATTAATTATTATAACGTCTAGCATTATAACTATTTACAATGTTAGTACTTACAAACAAATGGGTGTTTTCGGGAACAGTTTTTGATTCAATTGTCTGTAGGCCCTCAGTGTTTTTTATTGGAAAATATTGCTTTACCGAAATAAGTACGTTGTCTTGCCGTACTAACTTTTCCAATAGAATCTTTTGATGAGCAAGTGCAGACATCACAGCATCATTTTGAGTAGATACGGTTTATAAAATATGAAAAAATTCTTACAATTAAATTCTTTTTTTAAATTTTCCACGGTTTCTGAAAAAAAACAATAATGAATGGTTTGATAAACATATTTTGTATCTAAGTAAATTAATTTACCTTGCAAAGTTTTCAGTCCCTCCACTAAGGATGTACAACTCTCGCATGCTGGAACTGGTTTCTTATCTACATAGAATAGAACAATTGTAATTTTTGTAGTTTATATCTATAGTATATATTATTATTAATATAAAACTTACACGGTGTTGCTATGTTTTCCGAATCTGCTAAAACTATTCTCTTGATTTTCTTTGACATTGCGTATTTCAACCGCGTTGACTTTTTTGAAAAGTTGTTAAAAAGTGTGATTTATTTACAGATTTACAAATTTATTTATTTACAGATTTTGTTATTTACAGATTAATTAATAGCACCCATGCAAAAGTGGCAGAAGTAGCATACTGTCATCATAACGAAGACCCATTAACTTACATTCTATTTTTTCTATAGGATAATAAACTTACGTACTATCTAATGAGCAATCAGCTGTACATATACCCAATGTAAACGAATCGACCGGTTCACAAAAAAAAGCTTCTTCAATTTGTAATTTTTTTCCCTATAACAAATTTTTTGTCTTCAGAAAATCTTTGAATTTCTATTGGTTCATAAGGATTAATAAGGCAATAGCTGTCAGGTTGTTTTGAACACAATATACAATCCTGGAAATAAAAACATAAACCTTTGATTTTTAATTCTTTAAACCCATTGGGTTTATCTTTTCTGAGCAAGCGTTCTTCTGCTATTTGATTTACTAGTTGTTGGAGTATGTGAGTCGGTTTTTTAACATAGTTTTTCAGAGTCTGTAGATAATTTTCGAAATCTTACGCCGAAAAGCTTGAAAATGAACCTATTGATTTTAAGCTTTCTGTTATGTGAACTAAATTGTGTACGTTGTATGTCAAACTGTAATTTCCGAAAATTGTAGAAAAGTTTTGAACAAACAACGATAGCAAATTTTCAGCAGTACCTAAATTGTTCATATATGATTTTGGACAAAATAGCATCCTACTATTATATATCGATTACTTTCTCAATTCCTTGAAGTAATTTCAAATGTAGTTGATTTTTTTTTAATTCCATTACAAGGAATTTCATATTGTAATTGAAATAAATTACGTGCTAGTAATGTAATTTTTTTTCCAATTCCTTTGAAAGGAATTGAAAATGTAATTGATTTTTTTTTCAATTCCATTACCTGGAATTGTAAGAGTACTTTAGTTTTTTCAATTACTCAAAGGAATTGTAAAAGTAATCGATAAACTGAAAGTTCATTCACGAATGTAACATGTGGAATTTTTGTTGTGGTCAAAGATTAAAATCGAAAGCACACATTGGACATCTTCTATGAATATCTATATATATATATATATATATATAAATGTTGTGTTCTTATGTCACGGTCATCAAAACTCGAGAACGGCTGAACCGTTTTGAATATTTTTTTTTATAGTATTCGGTATAATACCAGAACTAATGATATCGCAAACATTTGGAGGGTTGCTACCTATTTTAAAATTGTTTAACCCAATTATATTGATAAAATTAATGAATACGGGTATCAAATTAAAGAGGTTTAAGAAACACAACTGTTGGAAATATTTTTAAGGGGGCTGCCACCCATTTGGAAATTGTAACTCAGTTAAATTGATAAAGTAAATGAAATATTGCCATGTGGGTTTCAAACTAAAGAGTTTTCAAAAGGCTTAAAGTCGAAAATATTTTAAAGGAGGGTTGCCACCTGTTAAAAAATGTAGCGCAATTTAATTGATAAACTAATTGATATATTACAATATAGATATTAAATTAAAAAGGTTTAAGAAAGATAACTTCTAGAAATAGTTTTGAGTAAAATTGCCACCTCTTTGCAAACTTAAACTCGGTTATTTTGATAAAGTAAATGAAATACTGCATTTTGGGAATCAAACTAACGAGTTTTAAGAAGGCTTACTGCCGAAAATATGTTGGAGGAGGGTTGCCACCTGTTTGAAAATTTAAGTTAACTTAATTGATCTAGGTATCAAATTAAAGAGGCTTAAAAAAGAAGACTTTCAAAAATACTTTCGAGGGGTATTTGAAAATTTTAGCTCAGTTAAATTGATAAAATAAAGAATATTTTATATCTTTTTAAGTATCTTTAGTTAAGATTTGGGAATTATATAAAGAAATTTTCAAAATTTTCAGATACAATTACAATATAAAATACAAATGACCCGTTTTAATAAACCTTCCCGGTTTTTTCTGCCTTCAGTGGATCAAGAAATAAAAAACCTACCCTTTACTGCAACAACAGCGCACAAGCTCTTCAAAAACCACGGCAAAAACCCACCCTAATTGCCTGTTCAACTGCAACCTTTGCGGACGTTTGTACAAGACACTTACAACCTTTCAGTGTAAATGTACAATATATTTTAAATTTTTGTTGATCACTCGGGAAAAATATTTTAAATCATGCTAGTTTAATTTTAGCATTTTTTTTATTTTTATGTTAAAGTTTGAATTTTTTCATTCGCAATGCAAACTTAAAATGAAAATAACTTGACTAAATGACCTTATCTAAAAAAACGGTATACAGATCCGTAACATACTACTTAAAACTAATTATACGTGTCTCGGCGTTTTTTTGTGTCATTTTAGCGTCGTTACAGTGTTATCATCAAAATTTAGCCATAGCAATACAATTTGTTTATAAAACTCTTAGGAGGTAGGATCTCCAGTCCGACAGGGCTCGTGATTCAAGCGGACTCTATCCTCATTTGTAACGCAGGATACCAGTAAGAGTATTTCAAAGGCCCCAGAAGACACGCCATTTTGGGTAGAATTAAGGGTACCATAATATACACAATTAAGTCAGTGCATTTTTATAGATACGCAGGGATTAGTCCAAGAGAACAGCAGTGCCCAAGGCAGCAACAGTCCGGGCGGGTTATGTCTGCTTCGACATTTATGGGTCTCATCTGCCGCGAAGCGCGTTCGCGGTAGGATCTGGAAAATTTAACCGTTACCCTATAAACTGAACATCTACAGTTTAAGTTATTCAGTTTTCTTAAAGTCCAATTAGTAATACTATTTAGGTATAAGTTATTTATTCAAAGCAGTAAGCAACCAAGAAATTTAACAAAGCTATTGCAATTCAACAGTAAAATTTTTTTTTATACATTTTTCGATTACCTTTTAAATTACTATGAGGAATGGAATTCGAAAAAAAATCAATTACATTTTCAATTCCTTTCAAAGGAATTGGAAAAAAATTACATTTTCAATTCCTTTCAAAGGAATTGAAAAAAAAATTACATTACTAGCACGTAATTTATTCCAATTACAATATGAAATTCCTTGTAATGGAATTAAGGAAAAAAAACCATTCCATTTGAAATTACTTTAAGGAATTGAAAAAGTAATCGATTCCTTTGCTGTGAACTGAAGGAATTTAATCCTTATTACAATTACTGAGGAATGTAATTGTAATGTAATTGCATTTACCCAGCTTTGATTGTTATAAATGAACTGAAAATGTTGTTAGTTGAAATTTGCATTCTCTCTGAAAAAAGATTAACTTAAAATTCACCGAAATAGGTTTAAGTCGAAATGATGCGGTAATCAATCAGTTTTTCACGTTTTCTTAAAAATGGGTTTTTTTGAGTTAATGCACTGTACATACATATTTAAGCTCCGGGGAAAAATTGAAATTGTTTCTTTTGACTTGGTCTGATGAATTGTAAACATATGTATGTACATATTTAATTTAATGATACTAGTTTGGTCCCCTTCGTCCATAAGTGATACGCAAGAAAATAATGTTTTTGAGCCATTAAAAGTACTTACCAAAACTGAATTTTAAAATATCCCACATTGTTATCAAACTACAAAAGGATATGCAAAACTATAGGGGTTAGATCAAACTGACCTCGCACAACTCAAAAAAGTCAATAGGAATATCAGCTGGGAATTTACGCATACATGGACGTACTACATGTACATACATATCGTCGTTTAAAGTACAAAACCGCGTATCGTCATTCTGCAAAACCGCGTAACTGACATTTGCTGCCAAAAATTGGATTTGCTCACACAAGCTCTTGGCTCAATCCTTATCCATTCGTCCTGAAATACACTAAGCAGAAATGGGATTGCTTTATAAAAAAGAGAACCATTTTGATATATAAGTGTTTTATTCTCTAGAAAGTAATTTATGTAACCTCACATACGCGGTTTTGCATTATCTTGATACGCGGTTTTGTACTTTAAACGACGATATGCATATCGCATGAGTTCAATTAAGTCTACGCTTTTTTATAGAAATCAACTAATGCTTTTAGCGTGTCGATTGTATGAATAATTGAAAGGCGTCATGCCCTTCAACAAAATACTGCCTTACCTGTGCACATAAATGTGTATCTACCCAGTAGCGAAAATGGTCACCGGTGACATCGTCACTAATGAGAATTTAGTGACATCGTCGCACTTGCTGTGAATCCTAAACGATACATAGCTGACAATGACATTGGTGACAATGTCATGCAGGTGTACTCCTATCAAAGACTTATAACAGACAATGTTTTGCAACGGTGATTTATAAAAAGTCCATTTCAGGATAATGTCGCTTGAACGTCATCAATGATCACTGTATGACAAAGTCATGCAGAGGGCATCAACGACCAAATTACATTTTCTCTGAAAACGTCGTGAACGACTTCCAGATAAACGGAGCACAAAGTCATTTAAGAAGTAACACAGCCGTACAATAAACTTAAGTGACTCATGCATGACATTCGCTACGGGGTACATATGTATTTAGGTTTGTATTTATGTACATATCGTCCTTTAAAGTACGAAACCGCGTGTCGTCGTTCTGCAAAACCGCGTAACAAACATTTTTTGCCAAAAATTGGATTTGCTGACACAAGCTAGCTCACGCCTTATCCATTCGTCCTGAAATATACTAGCCTGAAATGCGATTGCTTTATAAAAAAGAGACCATTTTGAAATATGAGTGTCTTTACTCTCTAGAAATAAATTTATGCAACCTCACATACGCGGTTTTGCATTATCTTGATACGCGGTTTTGCATTTTGTTGATACGCGGTTTTGTACTTTAAGTGTGCACGAGTAAGCAGTATATAAATGCCTGGTAGGTACATGTGTATAAATATTTGTACACGTACATACATATATGGCATTGCCGAACGGAATCTGTGTCATTGTGCAAAAATGCAAATAACTGATTGGATTCAATTCAATGTGCATACTTCAAGTAGTTAAACAGCCGCATAAAAAGCGGTACTCATAGATACATTTGCATAGACATACATACATATGTTCAAATGGGGCGGTCCATTTTTTTTTTTTCAGCCACCCCCCATAACGTAAGAATGTCGAAAATAAGACGTGTATATTCATTAAGTATCAAATCAGGACCGTGCGGCTGAAAACATCATTTGTTTGACAAGGTGTGTGAGAGCTCCGTTGGTTCAAAACCGCTGCCAAACAAATGATTGTGTACCACTCAGAATTGACCGTTGTGCGTTCCTCTAGCGGTACTATAGCCACATGACCCGATATTGCGAATAATGCCGCCTCTTGCGCTAAAACTCTTGTTTTTTTATTTTTACTTTCTAATTTTTAAAGATCCATACAGCTGATTTGGCTTTTTTACTCATACGCTTATATCTGTTGACGAGCTCTAACAATACACGCTGAGTGCAAACCAAACGAATTGTTTGTTCTTTTGCTCACTTTCAGTGCCCAGCTCAACCCAAAATCAAAAAATAAAAAACAAAACAGTGTTTTCTATTAGCAGTCGACCCTTGGCAGGCAATGGCAAACCTCCGCGTGTATTCTGCCATGGAAAAATAAAATTGCCGTTCTGAGTCGGCAGATATCGCACAAAAATCTACCACAAATTATGGTGAGATAAGCGCACAAGATGTAATACTTGTATTATTTAATAACTGTACCTTAGCCAAAGCCAGCCGAAATTTCCTAGGTTTATGCAAAGTTTTAAGAAAAATCGAACAATTTATAAGACCCCAAAAAA